CATGTTCGCCAGGAAGCAGTCGGGCGCCGTGCCTCTCGGTGAGTCCTGGGCCGGGCTCGGCGTCGCCCTCCTGCTCCCTCTCCCTCCTCATCCTCCTCCTTCTCCGCGCCGCCGGGACCCGCTCCGGAGACGGCGGAGCCCGGAATGGGGTCCCGGGTTAGAGCCTTGCCTGGAGCGGTTACCGAGCGGCTTCTCTGCGTGCTCCCCTCCCCGCCACCTTCTCCTCGGAAGAGGCGTATGTAGGGCAGCACCCACAATAATACCGCTCCCCGCCACCCTGGAAAACACACCCGGTGCATCCGTGACGTCCCCAGTACCCGGAGAGGACGGCGTGGGGGCGGGGAGCGCTTCCCTCCAGTCTTTTGCCCTTATGTTCAATGTCATTACGATGTTTGGCTAGAACAAAACCGAGAGACTTAAGTCCTCTACGTCCGTGGCCGAGTCTTCAGTCTCCCGCTGCTCGGCAGCCGCGAGACCCTTGGGTCTATTTTTAGCAGTTTTCGAGGACGCATTTTCAGCGCGATTCACAATTTTCTGGGGCTTCTGCGTCCTGACAATAGATAGCGAGGCTCTGGGAAGCGCCGCCTGAAAGCCAGGTTTGGAAAGCCGTGCATGCATGGGAGATGCGAGGCGATATTTGGGTGGTTCGTAATTAATGGCTGAAAGCAAAGCAGCTTTCCTCCACCCCCCACCCCGACCTTCCTCTTCTTCTGGTGTGTAATGTGTTTTTATCGATTGCTACTCAGCATGTTTGAGCCACTACGCTCGGAATTAAGTCGCCAGAGAGGTGGTGCAGCCTCCTTGGTCTGGGTGGTAGAGAAAACACAGACTTAGGAATTTTGGGGTGTGTGTGTGTCTGTGTGCTTCTTACAAAAGAGCAGTTACTTCTAAAAAGCCCGAAGTTGTGTTTACTGTGTATACAGGGGTAACGAAGGGAGTGGGAGATTAGAAAATAAAAGGCAGATTGTGGTTGCAAGGTGCTCAACTCACTTGCATCGATCTGATTTGCTTTAGCTCTGAAAGGTGTTAGGAAGGTGTCTGCCTAATGGTCCTCAGGCAAATGTGTTGGCTTACAAAAGAGATATGTTATAATCCGAGCATCAGGCCCGATCGGCGTAGACCTGCACTTTTAGGAACTACGTGACCAGTATTGACGGTGCTCGGATTTTTCCGGCAATGACTTCCATGAAAATGGGGAGGTCCTAAAACAACCCTTGAGTTACCTCATTGTACATTCTTCTGCTAAGGAGGGTTCAGTACATCTGCTGGTGGGCTTTCAGCTGCATAAATTACGGGGCTTCCGAGCCAGACTAGTTCTTGATTTGGTTCATACTGCATCGTGGAGATGTACCTGTGAGTGATTTGGGGGTTCGATCTGAGGAGGATGGCAGATACTGGCAAATGGACCAGCTGCCTTAGACCGTCTGAGATCTCTTTCCTTAACCTGTCTCTGCTACATGCAGGAAGCATTGTTAATGTGGCTGGGAAAAATGTTAAGTGATCTGGGCTTACTTCTCTGGGGGTTACAGGGTCTCAGGGCTTGAATGAAGATGATTATGTTCCGAGAGAGCTGTTGAAATTTGGGAACCCTGTAATTAAACTAATAACAAGTCACTGGTGCGGAAAGACTAGCGGGCCTGCGTGGTTCAAGTTAGTCGAACACTGATTAGTTTTACCAGTATTGCTTCTGTTTCAGCTTATTCTCATTCAGAGAACTTTCTGAGTTCTCTCTGGACACACTACTTTGCCCCTCACATTGTTTTCCAAGAAGAAGCGTAAGATAAAGTAGACATGCATTTTTCCCGTTCTTCTCCCCTTTTGATTCTGCTCTCTCCATTTTAAGTATGATTCTTAAAGCATGAGTTGTTATCACATTGGGCCTGTGTGTGTATCCAGAGAACAGCTGAGAAAATGCACATGTATTGCATGTATGGCTTTATGTTATTACTGTGGGCTGGAAATGACAGGACCTGACTGAACGGCAATTGTAGTGAGCACATGAAGTTGTTGCTTTGATAAAATTGTCATAGTTTTGTAGAGCAGAGCTATTTAATTTAGTGTGTGTTAGTGTAGTTGTATAGCGCAGTGATTATAAATGTTGCTAATGTTTTCACTGTTTGTAATAAAAGTCGTGCACTATCAATGGACAGTATTTCTCTCCACATCACATCTTTCACAATAGCGTCGAAGCCAATTTTTTTCTCCCAGTGAAATGAGTCTTTGGGGAAAAAATAATGAAATGCAAATACTATTGGCTCAAAAAATGCAACTTATAGTTTTGCTAAGGAATTTCTCAGGATAACATCACTTTCATAGTGGCATCTAAAATTAAAAATGAACTAGTTCTCAAATGTAATATCACTTTTGGCACATAATTGCGTGTGTAGTGCCTTTCCTGAAAATGTTGGTGAATTTGCCATTTTCTGTTGTGCTGCATTGAAGTTTTCTTTTGTATGGTAGGTATTTATGTGAAACTGTTCAAGAGTTTTGTGGACTAGTTTCATCAGGTTGTCTCAATGTAAGACAGCATTGCAGTTACATCTGACATAAATTATTCTAATGTGTTTGTAAGGGCATGTATATCACTGTGGATCCGTATAGTTCATTGTAACAAGCTGATGATTGAATGAAACTAGAAACTGTTATATTTTGAACTTCTCAAAGTTGCTCCTTCTATGATTATTCACAGTAGATAGAAATATTCCTTTTTGTTGTTTTTTGTTTGCGAGCATTATTTCCACTTCTTCCAAAGGGATTTGATGATGTCAGGAACACTTCCCTCAGCGTTGTTTTTATTTTTAAAAGCTCTCACATAGAAGTACTTGTACTCCAATGCCATGACCAGTGCCATTGACTTCCATGATGATGTTTATCATCCATATTCCAAAGGTGTTCTCTTAGCTTTCCTGTCATTGGGACAAAATACCTGATACCTAAAATGAAAAGAGGTTTCTTTGACTCATGATTTCAGTGGATTCAGTCCATGGTCGGCTGGCTCCAAGGCAGAAATGTCTGGGGGAAGGGCCTGGTGCAGGAGACCTGTTCAATTCATGGCAGCCAGAAAGCAGCCAGAGAGAAGCAAAGACCCCCGATAAAGAACACAGCCTCCCACGTCCCATCTCCAGTGACCCACGCCCTCCAACCAGGTTCCACCTCTCAACAGAAATGTCATCACCGATGTATATCCACCAGTGAGTACAGTGCCCCTAGGATCTAATCATTTTCCAGCAGCTCCACCTCTCAGTACGTGAGACTTTTTAGATCTGAACTATTAACATGTGGTGTCAGGGCTAAGGTACTTGCGAGGTATGGTACATTCTTGTATTTCAAAAGTTAATTTGAGTGCAGCAGTTCAAGTTCATGATACTTGTTGGTTGGTAGCTTCAAGTTTATCTCATTATATGCCAAAGCAACAGCTTTTAACATTACTGTAAAGTATTAAACATGTCATAGATGAATAGTTTCTATCACATTGTCTGCCAGTGCAGCCTATTGATTAATAATCTTCCTGGTGAGGTTTAATGAATCCAATTATATCCACAGACAGTAGTACCTCCAACACAGGACACTCACAGAAATACTTTATCATACTGAATCTTTAGTTTATTAAACGTTAAGATTCACAACAAAGATGTGTACTGATAATGCTTGCAGTTGTTTATCTTTTGATCGCGTAGCAGTTAAATGCAATTTCAAGCTCTGTATCATGTTTAATTTATTTGTAGGAAATATCTTAGCTATATTAGGATGCTGAAGTTATACTCTGTTTCAATTAGTTTTTGATAAATCAGAAATAATAAATAAGTTCTACAATGCTTTCTAGAAGATTTACGTCTTAGACAATATTCACCTGTGTTCCCTAATAGTTGAAAAAATGATAATTTTATTATATTATGTTCCTGTACATTCTATAGTCTAACATATTACAATAGTTCATATAAGCATAAATACATACATGGAAAGGCACAGTTCATCTTTTTGTTTTGAACTCTATTTCTGATCTCAAATGATAATTATCAAAAAATAATTATACTATTTTGCATTCCGCTTCCTGTGTGTATGGAGATGCAGAGAGAAAACTTTGACTGCATCTCAACTCTGTCTTTTCTTATCTGTGTATCCTTGAACATTTATGGAATCTTTGAACATTAACTCAGTTTCTTCAGGCATCAAATAGGTGCCGTAAGACAGAACATCTCAAAATATTGTCCTGAGGACAAAATCAGTGCATGAATAGGTGTTTCATATTTTGTTAACATTTATGTAAACATAAGACATATATTTCTACCTATTGGGATAATTATGTTTCATGTCTGTGTTACCAGTTTACCACTCTCCCTAAGAATGTTAAGATGTACTGCCTCCCTGTCCTTTTGTGATATTGTTTTATTGAGTCCTTTCTTCTATAAAAATGCCAGTTTTTTACTCTGATACATCCTCTTCCTTTCTATATAGAAATATATGATAATTTAATTAGAAGAGAGATAAATTATATTCCTAGCATCATTATTGAAGTAGATTTAAATCTAATAGAAATTACACAACTTCTATATTCTTTAGTTAACTCATTGAGATCCGATTTTGTACAAAGTCTGATGTTGTACCAATAATATAATAGATAGTTTAATAAACTGTGAGGTCAAATAGTAAACATTTGCTCAGTTTAGAACCACAGAGTATGAAATCCACCTTATTATTATGAAATAGAAAAAGATACTTAGGCAGCAAAATTGTTATCTACCCCCTGCATTAAAAGGAAGTGCATGAAAATAATACCAAATGTGTGCATTGGTAGGTTTTTGAAAATAAGTGGTCCCTTCACTCTTAGGATGTACACTGAGGGTCCACAGGGTGGGGCTTCTTTAGTTTTGAAGATGTCCAGCTCCTTTGGCATCCTCAAACCCAGAGGAACTGGATGTGACCTGTGATCTTCAGCCTGTTAAATTTAGGATAATCATATTTGCTGTGGCGTAGAATTCATCATAGGATATGTGCTGTGGAAGAGAGGACCAGTTTACCCTCAGTCAAGAAAACATTT